GTGACCATCCCGGACTCAGTGACGGAGATTGCGGATGAAGCTTTTGCAGAATGCAGTGCTTTGACTTTGGTCGTTTCCACTACTCGGATCCAGTTGGGAGTTGACTTCACTGGCTGCAAACGGATTCTGGCAAAAGAATGTGAATGTCAAGAGTGCGAGTACTGGTGGTTTCAGAATGGCTGGGTGTGTCCGAAACAACGGTGGCGATCTTCACAGCATGATTGCTCATAGCCTTTATATGCCTTTATTGAAGCAAGCCAAGACTTTCCGCACAGCGTGGTGTTGTGTTAATGAATTTACCTTGATTCGCTGCATAATTTTCAGCTCTGTAACCGCGCTCGGCCACAAAGGCTGGCTTGCTGATGGCTGGCTGTGAGATGTAAACACTCAAGCTTTGTTAATGCCCTATGCCCCAACCACACCGGGTTCAAGATCACCTTTTTGCTGTTGGGCAACACAACCATATACCAGTTTGCAGGTACAAGCCGCGCCGAAACACCATCAGTGAGGCATACAGAGTCCACATTTGGATCATCGTTTCTGGGCGCTGGTCTTGGCCAGATCCTTGCTTGGGAAGATGCCGAGGATCAGGGCGGATGACCCTGTTAGGCCATGTTCACCGGTATCATTTATAGCCCTTTCATGCCCTTTCTTGGTAGTTTTCACCACGTTTTGGGGTCCAGAATTCTGGGAAGTTTCACGATTTGCATGGGGAAGGTGACGCTTTGTTGCATAGAGGCAAGTATGTGCTGGTTCTTCGGAGAAAACCGCGGCCCAGTCCATGGTGTTTCTTCCACCGGCTCCCTTCACCGGTCGAGTCGTCATAACCAGAAGGTGGGGAGTGAGCAGTGAGGAGCAGCGAGGAGCAGCGAGGTTCGTCGCTGCCGCGATCGCCGGTGACCCCTTTCGTGGGGTCCAGGTCACTGGAACCTGCGGCCTCTCGGCAGGGACAGGCGTCCGTCCTTGGAGATTCAAAGGCCTGGAATCCAGGGTGCAAGAGTTCTACCTTGAATGGATTTGAACGGCATAGCATCACTGTTCCTCTGGGCCTCTGCCTTTTGTTGCGGGTGGAAGGACACACATGGTGGTTTCAACAAGCAAGAGGTTTTGCATTTTAGGCGGCTACACAGGGCTCACAGGGTCCTGTTCAAAACCATGCTCAGATTCTTTTTTCTTTTCTACGGAACCCTGCTAGCAGGGTTGCAGAAGCATCACCACAAGTAGAAATAAGTATAATGAACCTTCCAAAGCAGAAAAACATCATCCCACAGGATCGAATTATATGGGATTTTGCAGGTGCCGCTGCATTTCAGCGATTTGCTTCGTCTACCACCGATGTCATGGCTTTTCAAACGAAAGAGAGACCAATCCGACCCCCCAAAAGTGTCCTGGCTAGAGATCTAAGTAGTGTAGGGTCCAGCCAAGGCGCCTCAACCAGATGGTAGGTGACAGCATTTTTGTGTGGAGCCTTGAGAGAAAGATCTACATACGATGGTAGGGCATGGATGGGCACGGTTTCTCGAAACCCACTGCGCTTTTTGATTAATTCGTTTTATTTGGGAGTCGCAGTATATCTCCGTCCAATCTGGCCGACGTCTGGCGCTCTTAGATCGTCTTAGACACAGACATCACCAAAGGGTTGGAAGATAAGGCCCATGGCCCAAAGTTTTCAACCTGAAGGTGCTTTTGCAGTATACATCCCCAGGTCCTTAAACCTGCAACCAAATAACCAAGATTAACGCAACTTCTGCAAAGCCAACCCTCCCACGTCCACCCAGACGAACAAACACTCAGCCGAACATCTCCAGTCAACCTCCAACTTCCTCCGCCTCCGCGGGTGACCGGGGCGTCGTCGCTTCTTCCAGCCTCTCCAGGGCACCGACGACCCGCGCGCTTCCGCGGCGGCGGAAGTGACAGCGGTCGTGCCGCGAGCGAAAAGAGCGACGGAACCGTTGCGGGCTGGTGGCGATCGGGACTCTGGGTGCGAAATCGTTGAGGACGAGCAAAATGGGCAACAGGGATTGACTCATTGAAGGGCGGGCGAAAGTTGTGTAGATTCTTAAGAAGATCGAGTTTGATAGTCACTGCATTGTAGTCCACTAAGAGCCTCGTTTGGGGAATTTCTTCCATGCAGCGGTTGTTTTGGGTTTCAGCTTGGTTCGGTCCAAGCAATCACTTGCTGAAAGGGATCCATCGCCCCCATCTGTGGCCGGGACGGATTCGCATCCTCACCGGGCGAATCCCTATCGGCTTGAGAGGTTCGGTCCGTTGGGTTTCAGCTCCGTGGTGCCGCCTTCCCTCCCAACGCCCTGGCGGTGCTTCGTCCCGTTCCACGATCGCCAGGTGTCTCCGACGGTGGTCACCTACAACGCCCTCCTCAAGGGCTTGGCGAAGGCCGAGCTACGAAGACGAACCGTGCTTCCTCGATGTGGCGGTGGTGGTGCGTGCTGCTCGGGGTGGGTGAGATGAGTACCGGTATCAGTTGGTCAGGGGAGTCCAATGTTGGGTTGGAAGAGAGCTAAAGCCGTTTCTTTTTCTTCGAACGGAACACGGATTCCCTTTCAAAAGCATCGGTGTAGACTCCGGCGTATACTCCGGCGCATCGGTGTAGACGGCGCATCGCGTCGGTGTGTAGATTCAGTCGTCCGGTTCTTTTCTTAGGCCTCCTTGCCCTCAGCAGCACGCCAGCTGCCCGGGTTGCTCAGAACGGGAGACGCCCAGGTCAGGTCAATTAGGTGAAGAAGATGCTTCTCACCTGTCTACTGTTCAACATGGTGAGAAGATAGGGGCTTCTCACACCCAAATCTCTGCGCCCTTTATAATCTATATAGGGTCGATTGCTGATTTCTAGGAGATTTCATAGCAGCAAGAGAAAGTTTTTTTTTTTCTACGGTTGAACAAACCAGGACATGCCCAGCACCACCTGGTGGCGCCCAGATGTCACTAGCTCTAGACTCTAGGTACTGGAACCTGTCTCTGTCTGTTTGGGGCTTCAGGAATTTGTTTCATGTCGGTGGAGCATTAGTGGGCACCTTCACTTCTTGGCCGAACCCGGCCAAACGCGGCATCACAACCGCTGAAAGATGGCCGCCGATCTCACAGAATTCTCCTTTTACATTTCCAGCACAATGATAGAAGCTTAAAGAACATTGAAAGGCCTAGATAGCATACCTCAAAGGACAATCTTAGAAGCTTAAACCACCGCTGCAACTTATAGCATGCATCTGGCATGCGCCTCCAAGCCCGCACCCGTCGCACCCCACCGTACGTCCTTGACCCGAACCGGGCGTCGTTCGATCCTTCGACCGATTGCCGTCGTTGCAGGTTGCAGGAACTCCCCTCTCGCCGGCTGGAGCCGTTCGGGAACCCGTTTGAGGAGGAGAACAAGGAGTTTTTTCTTCTTTTTCAGGTGAAGAGATGGCTCAGACGGCCCTGATTTGAAGCACCCCCTTTCGAACTGAAGATGGCGAAAAGATGAAGAGTGAAGAGTGAAGAACCCCCCCTTTGGAACTCCGGCGGCTTTCCCAAAAAGCACCTCCATTGGACAGCGGTTCTGCTCGAAGAAAGCTGAAACCGGAAATAAACCACGGAGAAGAATACGACGGAGCAAAGAGGCGGAGCTATGTCTCAAGAGACTTTCCTGAAAAACCTGGACACTGAAAGGATCCCAGGTGCGTGCTCGGCCAACGGAACCGATGCGAGCGGAATTCTCCGGACGAATCCCCCACAGATTGACATGTTTTGGGGCTTTTCAGAAGTCTTCTCACTTACATCGCGACCACAATTCCTACAACCTCCTAAACAATTCCTACATCTAGGAGACATAGTGTTCGACACCCCGAAAGCACCCCCCCAACCAAAACCCTCCGCGGCGAAAAAAGGCACGGCGGACCACCTACAACCGTTGCTCTTCCCCTCTGTGGCTCCGTCTTCGCCCCAACGGGTCGGACGGTTGGTTTGTGCCGACCTGCGGACGATCAAGGACAGCCATCAGCTTCAACACCTGCTTGGACGCCTGTGGCCAGTGGGAAGCGCCCAGCAAAACAAAGCGAGTGCGGGGGCGAAATCACGAAGCACCCCCTTGGTGGCGATGGCAAGGGCGAGTAGCAGATGCGAAAGAGTGGGAGGGTTGTTTTGCGTCCATTGCGTCCATTGATTCAAAACATGTGTTTTTTCCATATGTTTTTTCATCATTCTTCTTTGTGTCAGGCATTTTGAGACGACTACTTCCCGTGCATCGGTAGCCAGATTAGGACAGAGGTACGTTCAACGGCCAAGATTCCGTTTCCTTACGTTCCTTGCCAGTCCTTGCGCGAGAGCGTGGCACCGGATCCAGCAAGGACTGGACTGGTATACGGTTATATAGGTGAAAGGAAGGGCGAACGCCGTCGAACGCAGCAGTTCAACACGTCGAACGAGTGTGCCACTTCGTTGGGCCACGCTTTCCACCGGTGTCGATCGTTCGTGGTACCGTGAAGAAGGCGGTAACGGGGAAGGAGGAAGCCCCACGTGCGGTCTCAGCACTAGGAGGCTATAGGCTAAAGTATCAGATGAATGGACCAAAAAACCAACGATAACCAGCAAAAGCACCACCGCATGAATCGAACCGTGGGAAACGCACTGGACGTGGAACCTCCATGTGGAAAAGGTTGAACGTTGTTCGATCGTGGAAACACATCTTGACTTGCACAAGCTGTCGATCGCCAATCTTCAAGACACTGATTAAGGTAGCCCAGCCATGCCCACTCATCCTCCCATCTTCATCCCAACTGATATAGGTTTGTCAGACACATCCCTTCCTATCAGATGAACCAAAGGGCCCTTGCTTGACTGCCACATACGACTTTCAGTCCATGACTTTCACAACGAACTCCTCACCCACCGCCCCGGGAGCGGCGTTTTCGTTCCCACCACCCGGGTGGAGCGAGAAGACAAAGTTCTCCAGGGCGGGCGATGTGAAGGCAGCCAGAGAGGTGCTGCAGGCATCGGGTGGAGCTGCGCAGCGCATCAGCCATGCTGAGGTTATTCAGGTAAGTTCACAAGTGGCACATTGGAGCTTTCCCACCGACCAAGGGGCCTACTGGGCCGTTGCACAAGTCTCAACTTGAGATCCAAACCAAGCTGATTCACCTGCGACTTCTTTCGGGGCCCAAGATCGATTCCAAGGAGAGTTGTACACGGATGTTCCGAGTGCTAGACCTCTTAACATAGAATCACATGAAGATCCCACACCTTCAGATCTCTGCGACACCTCGGGCAAGTGCCGACGTCGACGACCGGACGACCCTCGATCCTCGACCCGAACTGCGCCAACAAGCTGCGGATCGCGGGACATCGTCGTTCATGGATGAGAATTGCTCGAGAATCGAACTCATCTCATCAACCTTTTCATCCACCATCTCATCTCATCTCGATATCAATTATTCGATCTCCTGATCCAATCTCAGGAGATGTCGTCCAGTGAGCTGAAGCTGGATGTGGCCAGGGCCCAGAGAGCAAGAGGTCCGGACGATCAGCGGAGCAGCGGACGGTTACCTACGGAAGCTTCTGTCGGTTCATGCCTATACAGCGGAGCAGCAGCTGAAGAACCCCCCTTGTTAAGGAAGAGCAGCTGAGGGGCAGCACGACAAAACAGATCCTCGAAGTGTCTGAGATCTGAGGAAGCTCTGATCTGCTTGCTTTTTCTCCACGGAGACCATACTTCCATGCTGGGAACACTCCTCCATGCGGTATGTACCAGTCAGATCATGTATTCGGGTTCATCACTCTTGGCAGTACCTGTTTGTTTACTAATCAGGGCAGAAGTTGTCGAACTTTATGTAGGGGGGTGAACTAATCATAGGTCAACATTATCGCTTTTAATTTTTTACTCACGGCCGAAACACCGTTCAGATGCATGGAAAGGGACATAGATGGAATTTCGCTCATCTATACGCCGTGGGCAGCTTGTCGGGAATTTGGCCCCTCCCCGACACACATATATCAATGATACTTTGGAACATTTTGGAACTTCGTATCTTTCCAACCGCCATGCTGCCTCCCAACGCCTTGTAAGTCATGTCCTAAGATCCAGATCCTTGGACCACTCATCCGGGGGGAAGCCCATCAGCATTGAATGATTCCATGGAAGCAACTGTTCATTTCCACCAACCCAGGACCTAGGTCTGTAGATGACTCGATGACCATTTGTTGTTGAGTCGTTGAGTCGTTGAGTCTGTCGATGAACTAAACAAGTTCAACCACCGGTCGCGGGTGACCACTGGTCGTCTTGACCCATGCGACCCACAGTGACGCATGTGGGTCTGTTGACCCAGCAAGTGAAACCACCACAACCGGTCACTAGGTGTTCAAACAGCTTGCGGTGGTTGAAACCCACCACCGTTTGTAACACTGGCACCCCGCTGAAATCCACCCACTCGACCCGATCCGCTTTTCCCCGTGGAATCGTCGTCTCATCGAGGTCAGCTTCAACGCGGCCTTGAACGCCTGCGCCTCCGCCGGAGAGGACCGCGCGACCGGGGTGGCCGCGCGAGCGCCGGCGCGGTGCCAGGTCCACGTCGTGGTTTAAGCGAGGTGCTAAGTACTGCCAGGTGCTAAGTACTGCCAGGTGAGGAATGGCAGCCGTTTTCTGGTTTTTTCTTTTTTTTAGACGTGTCTTGTGTTCAAAGAGATGGCGCCATGTTTCCTTGATGACTGCCAAAGGCGGCAGAGAGCATGATCAGCCGAGGTTTCTGAGTCACTCGTATGCAAGCAGGCTCGTCAGGCTCCCCCTTCCTCCACAGACCGAGCCTTCGACTGCGCCCGCCGCCTGCGCGCGGTTCGGTTCGATTCCACGACCTTCGTGTCAGGCGGGGGCGGTGGAGGGGTTCACGGAGATGATGGCTGAGAGGCGATGGAGAGGGGCGGACAGCGGGACGAGGTGTGGGAGACTCTGCAGAAATGCAAAGAGTGCGCCATTGTTTCAAGGGCCTTCAGCTACTTTTCGAGCATTTCTTCAGGGTGGGCATAGAGCCCTATTAAAGGGCCCTTCTGAGGCCCTGATTCACTGATTTAGGCTTCATCACCCAGGTGGAAATTTCGAAGGAATGTAACAAAGAAATGACTTGTCCACGAGGACTCCAACAGATTGTGAGAATTTCGCTTGGACACCTCATTTTCTTTACTTTTTTTACTTGACAGGCTTGATCCCCCCACACGAGTCCATTGCGATCTGCAGGGTTGATCCACCGAGAACGGGAAACACATGGTTCTTCAGAGTCTGGGAGGGCAATGGTCTCTTTGGCATCCCGTCTTGTTACGATCTCAGGTAAACATATATATTTTGGGTTTGCCCTCTTAACCTGTAGAGCTGAGCTCTTGGCCAACACTCCGAACATCTGTCCCAGACCAGCACAGGTTCCCACACAAAAGAGCATGAGTGAGTGTTGGATAGTGTTGGATAAGTTTTCATCATCCAACTAAGATCCCTCCAAAACAACCACTGGTCTTGGAGACATTTCATCCACTTCGAACAAAACACCACAGGTGCCGTGATCCTGCAGTGTAACTCCCGTACCCCCCGCCGTGGAGCTGTTCCTCCCTCCGGTGGCTTCCTTTTGGGCCCGTCGTCTCTCTGGCGCGGCGTCGCCAGGAGTGTGGTGCCCAATTTGGCCGCTCGGTCCGGGAGGGGGTGACAGAGTGAGAAGGACCGTTCGGAGGCTCCAAATGTTTGGTTCTTTGGGGGGCATGTTTTGAGAGAGGTCTTTGATTGGGGGGGATTTGGAGTGGTTTTGGGCATGTTCTGTTGTGGGAAGAGACCACAATCCCAGGAAGGAGCACAAACCAGGCCAAGTGTCCCCATGTAAACTGATGGAGGAGCCCTGGATGATCTCACCATACGCCTTGCGTGGGGCCGGATGAAGTGCTTATCTGGAGTCATCCGAGTCATCTTCAGTCATCCGAGTCATCCTGAACACCTATCACACCTCTTCCGGTTTCTTGGGGTGTTCGAACTCCTAACAACTTCCAATCCTTGAGCCTTGGGCTCTCCAGGGGTCCGGACGCGGTCCGGGTCCGTTTCGCCATGAAAAAAACCCCAAAAACGCGCTGTCCGTCGCTGGAGCATCCATCCCGGAGCTGACCCCCCGGCGCTGCGGAGCAGCACGGTGACCCGTGTGACCCGCGTGTGACCCGTCGGTTTCTTCGAATCCAGCGGACCCCACCGCCTGAACTCACTGGGCCCTGAAACAAGGGGCTTCGGAGAACAGGCTTCCAGGGCTTCCAGCGGCTTCCAAGGGGTGTTTTTCTTCGAGGTGACCTACAACACCTTGTTGAAGCTCTACGCTTCGCTGGGCGACAGCTCCAAGGCCTTACGGCTCTTGGAGGACCCGGTGACCGTGACGGTATCGTTTCGTGCGACGGGGCGCGGGGAAGTGGGGGGATGTGGCAGGTAACGCCACCAAATTGGTTCAGGATTCAGGGTTGAAGAAGACGGGAGTGCTGCTTTTGGGGGGTTACAAAGTGATCCCAAGGATCCCCAATAGGTGGTGGGGTCTCCTCCGTTCCTTGACCGCCAGGTACCCAAATTCCAAGAGTTAGTTGTGTTGTTTCTTCTCACTCACATGACTCACATGTCCGTTTGATTCCTTCCAGTCATGATCAAGTTGATCTCATATGAGAGCCAGGCCTCAGCCAGCAAGTTAGTTCAATCCAATCCGAAGCGGCGCTGGAGCCTCTTTGGTGAGGGAGAGATTTCGCAGTTGAACACCATTTCAGGCAAAGATTCGCCGTCCAAGTGGAAGGTTTAGATTTCGATCTTGGAGGAATCCTGGATCTGTGATTTTCTTAAAGGATCTGTGGATGGTCCGAGCCAAAGGTTTAACACTTGGTTTAACACCTCTGGACATGGTCGGAGTGGGCTATGAACAAGATTTGCTTCACAATGACCAGCCCCCTCTTTTTGGACGAACAAACAGTCCACCGTCCACCGACCACCGCGCGTGTGGCAGACGACCGAGGCACCGAGGCAACAGCTCGCTTCGCCGTTGAACCGCCGTTGGGCTCGAGCCGAGCCTCCGAAAGTTCTTCACGGGCGCCATGAGTGCCTCGATCGCGACCAGATCTGCGGGATATGAACGAAAGGTCTCGCCTGAGGTGGAGGACGGAGCGAGACGAGACCGAAGCGACATGAAATTGGCCACCGAAAAAGGATGAAATGGGATGAAATGGGTGGTTTTCATGGGTTTTCCAGGTTCTATGTGCTGTTGACACTTCCGACGAACAAATATCCATCAACAAGCTGGTTGTCATGTCGATCACAACCCCGGCGGAGCAGGCGCCGAGCTGGTGATCGACGTTGACGTCGATCACCTCTGTCCTGTCGTATCTGTCGTGCTAGAACGATACGCAGAGGAAGATTCCTCTTAATCCACACTCGAAAAGCAATGCATCCAAAAAACAGTTGCTTTTTTGTCAAGGTTTTCATTTTCACCATCATATTTCATCACAGACAAATGTAATTGAACGTTTTTCTTCAACTCGATGTTGGCATTGGTTGCTAGCGTGGGTGAACACGTGGGCTTTGGGGGAAGGATGGACCGACCGGGCGAGGGGGCGCCTGCAAACGCCAAAGACAGTGTTGAAAGAAACCAAAGTAAGGACATTAATATGCATGCAGCAACTTTGACTTTTTGCGTTCTCAAGCAGGGTGAACCGTTCTTTTTTTTAGTTGTGCAAGAACCAGCCAACGCCCCTCGGGCACAGGTATGAGTGAACACATATATGAGAGTCTGCATTTCAAAGTTCACAAAGCGCGGCTCCTGCCATGAGATTTACACTTCAAGGTTCACCAAGTGCTGCGCCTGCCACGAAATCTGCATCCGTTGAGCCGAGGTTGAATCCCAATTGGGTAAAAGTTGCCCAAGTTGCTGCTAGCTTATGGACACATAAGAAGGTTCAACATAGTCAATGAAGTGCGGGAAGAACGTTTTGATTTAGGATGTTGGAACCGTATAAAACACTAGGCGACCTCCACAAATCAAGCGACCATGGACCATATCCCACAAATTTGGCAACGCATGGAACACTGTGTAGACCCTGTGCCAGTTGGGTCCGACGGCGATGTCAGCGGGTTCAAAGTTCGGTTTTGTGAGTCCTTTTTGACCCATAGACGTTCAAAAAGAAACCGTTTAAACCTCGAAACAACAGATTCTAAGATGTTCTAAGTTCTATCAATTTTCCGGTCGACTTTGAAGGACACTTGCAAAGCTAGCGACTGAGCAGCTTTTACCTAGCGGACACCGGCTCCACGAGGTTAGCATGCTCCAGCAAAGGTGCTGGCAGATTTGATTGTTTTATTTGTCTGATAAATTAAACTGTAGCTGTTTCTTGTAATAACTTCAACTATTATTATGATGGGAAACACACATATATATATATATGTACTTATATACAATATGTGATGCGCCCTATGTTCCGATAGCATGTTCTTGCACTTCATAAAAGGCGTGCAACAAGAAACAATATGTGACGCAACATATGTTTCATATTCTTCACGTACGTACTCAGTACGTACGTGTGCCAACAGATGTTTACAAGCAGTTATCACCGAACGGACGAACAAACCGGATTGTATGTTTGTCGATGTTCTTTGTGATTCTTCAAGAGTAAAACACCTCCGTCTGCAAGCGAAACAAGACAAACAAAAGGTACAAATGCGGCTGCGTCACACATCGATGATCCGCCACTGACGATGATCGCTTCCACCCAAACGACCTCCGGCCTTGGCGCTTCGCTGCTTCGCTTTTTTTGGACCTCCTTCCACCGTGGCCGTGGCCTGCCTGGCGCGCAGGAAGGTTACACGGTGCTCCGACCGTTGGGTCGAGGGAAGTTCTCACAAGTCAGCGAGGTCCAGCACAAGGCCGGTGTGGGATTGCTTCCGTTCGTGGTGGGAGATCGGAGGAGTCGGAGGAGTCCAGGCGGTCGAATTCCAGCCTGCCAGGAAAGGACGAGTCAAGGTTTCAACCACGGATTTGTGCGGGTTGTGTTATGGATCTTCATTGGACACCCCAAACAGATGGTCCAGGTATGCACGATGAAGATGCGTTTGCCGCAGCCCAACACATGAGTAAACACCGTTTGTTCCCCTGTGCGTCAGCCGAAGGACATAAGCCATTCCCTCCAACGAGCTGGTGGTTTTGACGTGGACTGCCTGAAGAGAAACCGTAAACGATTCCGATTCGAAACACTTAAAATCAACACCTTCCAAACCTCTGCAGTCGGATTTTCCATCGCTGAAACATCCAAACCTCCAAGAAAAGACTACGAAACAAACACCTTCCAACGTCTGTCACCAAGGGGAGCTCCAAACGCTTTGCCTGGAAACACGTGCAGCGCGAGCAGAACCCCCTTTGCGAGGTCGAGGCGCCGATCTGGGGTGAGACGAGAGAGATCTTTTTCCGCGTTGTTGTTTGGGTTTGGCTTCAAAATCCGAGATCTTCAGGTGAGATTGGATCGTGGATTTGGGACCCAGGAGCTGTCTGAACATCTTGGCACAGGGGTGGAGGGAAAGGCGACGATGACCTGCAGCTTCGCAACCGTCACGGTGGGTTTTTCTGGTCTTCCCTATTTAAACATGTTTCCACCCACATGGAAGAAGAACGGCATCAGTTTTTGAAGGTATCTGGATCTCGGAAGGTCGACTCGGGGACTGGATCGGACTGGACGAAACGTCCAGGGTCAAAAGTCCGACCACCGGTCGACGACCGGTCGTTTGGTGTTCAACGGTTTCCACAAATGATGTGTGGAGATCTACTCGAAAACAGTCAGTGTTTTTAGGCTAATTAGGCTGAAGGTTTTTTTCAAGGGAAAGAAGGGAGAACTTAGGGGGGTGGGGGGGGGGGCAGATATTGGGCAACTTTCTAACAAAGCCTGCTGATGTTAGTGGTCATTTTTGGTAATCTCGTGGTGCAAAAGATGCCGTGTAAATGGTGTAGGCATCACTTGCATCATAAGTCTGTTGGCACCTCGTTTTAGAAAGGATGCTGATCAAATGGATTGCACCAACCAGTTCCTTTGAACCCTTCCACTGGGTGGTTGGTGGGCATCCCGAGTGTCCATCGGTCACGCCATGGGACGGAGAGCGCGGCCGGAGAGCACCGAAGCGAGGTGGAGTTATTACGCCGCATGCAGCATGAGCACATCATTGGCATCTACGACGTCTACTCCAGCTTCGGTGTCCTCGATATCATGTTGGAGCTTTGTGCCGGCTCAGGTGGGGGACGACGGTCGCCGGCACCGTGCGACGGGGCCAAAAGAGCTGAGGAACCTCGGGCGATGGTTTTGGTTGGGGGGAATCTACGACCATCCAAGGGGTGTCCAATGGAAGCCTATAGGTAGTGTGGGGTAGTGTGGGGTGTCCAGTGGCATCTTGCTTGGTCAAAATGAGGAGTTCACTCTGACTGGGAGTCCAAATTCTTGTTCTTGGCTTGGACAGCTGACAGGGTGAACTTCGCAGCTTGCACCTGGAAACACAGAGAACAAAACAACTGCCAACCGTGACACACTCGTCGTCTTCATTTCTAGTTCTCCTTGCACAAGCAGTGAGAACTAGCATGGTGGACCATTCTTAATGGTATGCCCTCACTCAAAGCTGGGGCAAAGTCTGTGACCTTTCAGTGTGTGACCTTTCAAGTTGTAGGACGAGTATCAAGAGTTCGAAGGAATGCTCATGTTTGAAGCGATATGGTCACTTGCGTCCCTTCAGAGGCAGGACGATCTCAGGAGAAACTGGTCTTTTTGCACCTGTTGTGAAGCACATGTAGTCTATGTCTTGGATTCAGTGCCCCTTTCGTGACCTGCAGGACATATTTGAACTCCAACGTTGTGCTAGCTCCAGGGCATACAAAGCTGTACATACCTCCAGAGCCGCAAGAGATTGGGAGCACCCTCCAGCAACTGCTGAAAGCTTTGGTCTTCCTCCACACCAACTTGGTGGCACATCGTGATCTCAAGCCCGACAATGTGCTTTTTGCCTGCAGATCGGCGAATGGCTCGTGACCCGACGTGTTTTTGCGAATGTTTTTGGGATGCCTTCCCTGTAGTCCACGTGACGACGAGGCTTCCGTGTGTAGTCCTGTGGCGTGGGCCATCAACGGAACCAAGTGACGGAAGAGGACTCCAGGTGCACCACGTACAGAACGAATGAATGGCTCCACCAAAACCAACTCCCTCAAATCCCCCAAAGACGATTTTTTTGGGGGGGCAAAGCCCTGTACGACTTGGGATTCTAGAGGGTCTGCTTGGGCAGGCCGGCTTGCAATGTGCTCTGGATGTGCCGAATCTCTGTGTGGCTGCCTTTCGAAAAAACTCCCTCAGTTGGGATTTTGATGGATTTTGCGATGAACATGATGAGCACCCGGCCAAACAAGATTGCAGGAGGTGAAAATTCAAGAAACCAACGTGACTTGACATGCTTCCTCTGCTGGTCCCAGTTCACAAACATCCCAATTCGAGCAGTTGATCCTTCGTGAGTTCCAATCCGCATTTCATCAGTGGGTCCCTCGCGTCTTTGGGTCCTCCGCCTTCCCCGGAACCCGCGGCGGAACCCGTCGCGTTCCACACGGCGCATGTGCCACGTGGAACCGCCGTTCCTCGGGCGCTGATTCACCGGCGGGTTTTGCTCGTGGCGCTGTTGCTCGTGTTGCACGCTGACGTTGCTCGTGGCGGGACTGGGTGAGGCTGTTGGGTTCGGAGACTGGGCCGAAGACTTGGAAGTTGGATTTCAACCTGGCCTGTGACTTCGACCCCGAAGGCCCGAGAACGTGTAGACCCCCGGAAAGCGGAACGGAGGGAGTGGGCGGAGAGAGAGAGGTCGGTCGAGGAATGGTCAGTGGAGGATGTTCGGTGGTGACATCCAAACGAAAGGATCGAAAGGGGGGGAAAAAGCATCGAAAGAACAAGAACTGGAACAAGCAAAAGAAGGGGGTCCGGTGGAGTAGCACTCTGTGGGTTTCGTTTTGGGATGTTTTCGGGGGTTCCAACAAAAACTGACTGAAGAATTATGAACAATTGGTGAAGTCAATTCTTCAGGCTTTCACGCGGCGGTAGATACTCTGGTCTGGGTTCCACGCAAATTGTTTGCAACGCGAAGTCGGGTCGGACCATTACATGACCCTGCCCTGCTTATATAATGGCAAAGAAAAGACATATATGATCTCCGTTGGTCACGGCGTTCCAACATACCAGCAGTCACAAAGAGGTGCTATCCATGGAGGTTAGGGGTGCCCATTGTCCACTCACTGGATGGGACTAAAAACCACCCCGACATGTGACTCCTGGTATATATATATATATCTCCTGCACATCCACTTTTCTCCGAAAGGCCTTTAGAAAACTAAACATCATCATCCACTGGGCCCAGGAAATGGGAGATACCCCCAATTCCTTGGTCTGATTTTGGATTGTTGCCCCACTCAGCGAATCGACCCAGGTGGTTGAAAGCATAGTTGTCGGGAATCACCCTGCATCCCTGAGACCCAGGCAGACCTGTCCCAAATCATCTCATGTTCCCGGAGGTCCGTTGAATCCCCTTTCGAACTCGACCGTTTTTCTGGGCCAATCCGAAGTGGACATGTCCATGTTCTCCTTGTTCTTCGGCAACAAGACATCGGGTTCGGATCCATCCCAGTGATATCCATCTTGCCATCAGTGTCGCCTGTCAGGCAGAATGTCAGAGATGGTGGGTTCCAAGCCTTTCGCAGCGCCGGAGGTCTACGAAGAAGACTACACTGACGCTTCAAGCTGCAGAGAAGTAGAGAAGTTTGATTGGGCGTTGATTTTTTCCCGGGCCCCGGTTTGTCATGTCGTTTGTCATTTGGCTGCGTGAGCCACTCACAGTCGACAGCACTTTTCTTCTTTTTTTTTCAGCAGGCACTGTTGTTCAGATTGACCAGTGCTTGGAATAGATATAATTACAGCTGAATTGATAGATATACAACAGTGCTTGAGTTGTTCCCCCGCAAACGAACATAGAACTGAGAAATTGATACCACAGCAGTGAACCCGCAAACGAACAGACGAACAGTTTATGGTATAGCATCAACAGTTCAACTGTGGTATACTTACCCCGCAAACGGTCCCATAGAACCTAAGAACTGACCTGTGGTTTCGACCATGTTCCGAATACCCACCCTTTTCGTTGTTTTGGGGTTTTGATGTGGTCTGCAGGGGAGTATTCCTCACTGTGGAGAGTTCAGGAAAAGTGTGACCTCTACAGCATGGGAATCCTCTTCATCGCCTTGGTCACTGGAAAGCTCTACGATGAGCACCAGAAGGCACCCGCCGAACAGGCGAGCTCGCCCGGTGAATCGGTTCGGTCGCCGGTTCCGTTGAGGCCGTCAGGGGATGCTGAGAACATGTGAGTTTGCTGACGAAGTTTTCGGAGTTTTGTTGTTTTTTGGTGAGCTTGATTTGGTGCGATCTGCGTGCGGTTCGCCGTGTCCATCCTGAGTTTGGACTTCAGAAGTAAAACCCTCCCTCAGATAGGTGTGCGACTCGTGGTGACTCCACCAAAGCATGCAGTATGTTTCCTGAACTTCCGGAACTTGACTCGACCTGCTACTACCCCACCTGGCAGCTAATCCATCCACCCTGGGACCAGTCAGGTGGGGTTTTCCTGCCAGCCACGGCACCGTCTGTGTTTCACGGTTTTTTCTGCAGTCCATGGGTCGACACCACCGTGCCTGCGACTGGGGCGATGCCATCTCCACGGGTTACCCACGGGTGACTGGAGATGTCTGACCCAACTCATACTAACCCCAGACACGACTAATGGGACTGGAAGCCTTCACTTCGACTTCAACCCATCCCAATGTAGGTAAAGATGGCAGTCCCATTAGTCGTGTCGAACTACTTCAGGATGGATGGATTCGGTTGCCCAGCTCCAAAAGAGCCCGCCCTCCATGGGTCCCGCCTGCTTGACCTGGTACAAAGGAAGAATCGCCATCTGCTCGGCATCCGGAGTGCCAGGTGCTGATTTGGCCGGACATGTCCTGGGTGATCTGTGTGTTTGATCACAGGCCAAAGACAGCAGGCCATGTGTTCGATGTTATTCCCCACCAAGGCCCACGCAGGTTCCCTGCGTGTGTGCGCAGTTCCTTTCTTCCCTCGGTGCATGAGGATGAGCCCATTTGGCAACCTCCGACATACAATCTAGCACACCATGCCAAGAGTCTGGTTCAGGGGCAGACCCTTCCCCCAACCTAACCTAGATTGGTAGAATGCCCTGGGAAGAAAGAGTATTCTCCAAACCCTTCAAAAAATGGCAGGGCATCCATGTTTTCGAAGCTTCTTTCCAGGCCATCCATGTTTCTTCCTTATGAACTTGTTCCGTCACCGCCACTCGCATCGCCGCAGAAGCGCCTCTTCAATGCGAGTCGCTGGCTGGACCGTGCTGGCCCGGGCGCTTTGGAGCTGGCGAAGCAGATGATCGCGCCGGAAGCGGACGCTGGGTGTTGACTGGCGTTTCATGTTGGTTCATAGTTCTAAACAGTACTGAAAGGTGACGCCAAGCAGTCATCCATACTTATCTAAAGGACACCAAGAGACACCGACTGCCGCGGTGGGCCGTGGAAGACCCCAGGCCGCCACGTGGAAGACGACCCGCCGCCGCTCCGTCGGCGGACGCAGAACGTCGGCCGAGCGCCGGCAGGTTCAGGCGACGGCCAGAACGAGGGGTTGAACGAGGTGGAGAGATCCCGGACGGTCCGTACTGGAGAAGATATCTGAGTAGTTTTAGGACATCAGAGTAGTCTGTAAAGGAGGATCTTTCAGAAAGGTCTTTATGAACCCAGTGGATCCACAGATAGCGGATAGCGGGACAATGGGGGACCCCCAAGCCCTGGCGCCACGGACGATGGGGGTGAGTTTCAAGTGCCTTTTTCGGTCATCAACTCAGATCAAACGATCCGCTCCGATCCCATCCGCTTCCCATTCAAGTCTGAAAGACTGGTGCTGCTTCAAACCTCGGGTGAAGTCTGACTTGGCGGATCTGGTGGTTCAGGGACTTTCTTTCCAACTTCTCTTGGATGTGGGGCCGCTCCTGTGCAGTCCAGCTGTGCCGTCGGACGGGACTCGCCCAGGAGCGCTGTAGTGCCCAGGAGGCCCTCGAAATGAGCCTGTTCAGCGAGCGAGCAAGCCCCGGCGCCTGTTGCGTCATCCACTGAGTGAGACTTTCGTCAACCGCCGCCTCCCAAAGAGAACGTGCCTGTTGACAGGGCAGAGAATGTCTGTTTTGAAGGGTGAGAAGGTGGAGAATTCATGGCTGAACTGTACGGTTGTCCGGATTTTCAGATGTGGATCTTCGAGTGCGAGAGGTGGAGTTTCAACATGAAATCAAAACAGAAGAGATGGCAGGTAGAAGACAGTAGAAGACCATTCTTGACTGAAGAGAAACACCCAGCCTCACGGCTGAATTGGTGGACCGATGACCTCTTAGCGTTCACAGATCGTTTTCAATTCTTGGGAAACACAGGAGTTGCAACGTGTAACGTTTGGTGATCAAAACACATGCAGCGCCACATCACTTGTTATAACTTGTTCAAAGGTGTCTGTGTGTGTCTGTGTGTGTATTGCTTCAGCAGTGAACAGCAACCTGACTGGGCGACTTCTCCAAGTTCATGTCCAGAAATTCTGGTTCTTCTTTCTGGTGGATAAAAACACACCGGTCCAACGCCACTTGCACCGCAGGTTCCGGCAGTCACTCCGCGCACAGGAGCGGTAGGACAGGTCCCCAGCAGTCCAACAAGAGAAACACATACTGTAAACACCCTCACATTCTTTGCATGCAAACCAGATTTTAATATATTATATAACCTTTATATAGACATGACATGACTCATGCGAAAGGAAAGGTCATATAGCAAGAATACCAGCTTCATGCCTTCGGATGGCTTGCCGTACGTTTTTCTCCATCCCTTGGGTGGCTGCCAAGCTCCAACTTCAAATGCAGAGCGACTTCTCTGTGGGAGGGTTCCGTCCCGACCGCGCTCAGGAGCGATTGGCTCCCGGCCGGACTGTCGACCGCGCTCGGGGCACGGAGCTTCCGTGATCGTCCTCGTCCTGTCTGGTAGCAGTTCCTTTCCCTGACCCAAGTTGTTTGTGTGGAATTTGGACACCCCTACGGGTTATGCACATGAGATTTTCAATCTTGTGTGATGTGGACCATGAACCTTCACGATTTGTGCATCCACACTGCTGGAAACTGTTTGACCCCCTGCTGCCCGGGCGTTCAGCTGCGCTGCCGGGTTTATTTACGTACTTCGTCAATGCTCCGTCGGCGCGTGCGGAAGTTTCGTCCTGGAGGTCGCAGATGTTTATCCCAGACTTGGCCAAGAAAGGGTACGGATGGAAGAAAACCTCATTCGATCAATTGCTACTTTGGATGGCTATAGGGCTCATCAATTTGCCGCCTTGACTTTGCTACATCAACTTTTGGTGAATCTGCTCCAAGGTTGACGGATGACATCAAGCTGGATTGTATATTTTTCTCAAAAGACATATTTTCCTTCTGGCCTCTCTCAGCAGCCTCAAAGCGATTTCTTCAAACTTTCATTAAGTACTAGTGTTCCATGGACATTGGGGTGTCTAAGAGCGAGATCTCAGCTACTAAACAGCTATTGGTAATTCGGGCTCTGAGCATACAAAGGCCCTCCATGGGTTGGTTGCTACAAAACATATAAAATAGGACTCGCCGTTAAAACCGCATTAGCCACCCTAGCAACTGATCTCTTCGGAACCTCAGAAGCCTTTGCATTGTGTTGATGACTTCCAAACGAGGCAGAGCTGTCCAACTCTCCCAGATGACAATGCACTGACGATGTCTGTTTCTTGGTCCTGGGGATTTCTCTCAACCTTTAAGGGGTACTTGTGTTGACCTTCGACTGACATTCTGACGGAAGTATCCACTGTATCGACCTGTCGCATGAAAGCCTTTCATGCGACAGGTGTATATCAACATACATGGATCATCATGATCATTTTCCATACCTAACCTAGACTTTTTCGTGCCTTTTCTCAATCGCCTCGGCTTCTCCTCGACTCAATCGAAAGCTGTGTCGACTCCAGGCCGCCGCTCCGGCGTCGTCCTCAGATGTCCGAAGAAGGGCGTCCGATGGGACGACCCGACCGACCTTCCTCCGCGCAGCGGTGAACGGTGCCCCGAAAAGGGGGACCCGTGCTGTTCAGGGACCCGTGGAGTCGGTGGAGTCGTCTTCGCTCTTTCGGGGCGTCGGCTGAGCCACCGCGGTGATGAAACAGGTTGAGAAAGCGGACGACTCTTCACTCGCTCTGGTGATGCAGCCTTCGCCTTCTTTTCACGGGAAAAGCCGTGAGTCGCAGAAAGCCGAAAGCGTAAGCGGAGAAAGAGGGCGCAGCCTTTGGACGGCAGGTCGCCGATTGATCCAAGGAGGTCGTTCGGGATGAAGGGGGCATGCCCACAGCCTTACTAATGACCTGTTGTGCGCCTGCGTGACCTGTTCTTCGGTGTGTGGTTTCGGGTTCCGGTCTATGGATCGATCCCATTGGGCGGCATCGTCGCAGTCGCCCAAATCCACGAGACACATCTCAGGAAAGAGGACTTCAGGACTCACTCAGTGTACTGTGCGACTGTGGCATGACTCACTCCCCCCTTCCCAGATGCCAAGAGTTGGTGGATGCATCAGTGACTCTTCACCGAGAAAAGGGCCCAATACTTTGGACTATGTAGACACCTCCACGGTGATGTCCTCGAACGGTCCTTCTGGAGACAATCTGAGCGGCCCGAGTCCCGAGTCGTTGGGTGGAAGAGAATACCTCAAGAGGTATCCCCGGTCAGTTTCCAGGAAACCCTAGGCTGCTGCGCAGCTGCCTACTCTGGGAGGAGACCAGGAACAACCCTGGCGTCGCCAGCTTCTGTCATCGTCAGCTTCATGTTTCAGCGGTTTTGGATCGATCCCTCATGGAGTATAGAGATGTACCTCAAATCTTCATTGGAGTCTCAATATTTTTTGAGTCATAATTGGCAGATCCATGGCGATGAAAGTTCCATTCCTGCAGCTGAACGGAGAAGCGATGCTTCTCGAAGTCATCCCAGATATCAGTGGTCGGGAACTCAAGGAGCGGATCAAAGAGTGCCAGCTTTGGGATGATGAACTCACACGTCAGACTACCAGGGTAGACATTGTGGTGGGGCCGAGCAGATTGCTGAAGAATGATGAGATAGCTGCAGATGCAGGCCTTTCTCCAGAATCCAAGGTGACTGTAGTTTTGAGACGAAACGCTGTGACCTGCTCCCGCAAAGATGAGCTTGATGAGTTTGGCGATGAAATTGACTTGGAGTCTCCATTTGTGGTCCATATCCCAAGCACGGCAACTGAAATCATTCCGGAGGCATTCAAGGGATGCACGACTTTAGCCAGTGTGACCATTCCAGACTCAGTGACCCAGCTTGGGGATGCTGCCTTTGAAGACTGCAGCTCCTTGGCTAGTGTGACCCTCCCCCACTCAGTGACCCAGATTGGGGTTGGTGCCTTTGCACGATGCAGATCCATGGCTAGTGTGACCATTCCGGACTCAGTGACCGAGATTGGGGTAAGA